TCCAAAGTGCACAATGTTTTTCATGTCTCTATGATGCGTCATTATGTCTCAGATCCTTCTAATGTGATACCTCTTCAACTGCTGGAAATTAATTCGGATTTGACTTATGATGAGGAGCGAGTGACTATTTTGGATTGGAAAGATAAGGTTATGAGAAATAAGACAGTGCATTTGGTGAAAGTTTTGTGGAGAAATCACTCAATGGAAGAAGCTACTTGGGAGACAAAAGACCGGATGAGAGATATGTATCCAAGATTGTTTTATGATTATTAGTGGATTGTATTTATTGTTTGAATTTCGAGGATGAAATTTTCTTAAGGGGGTAGGTTGTGACAGCCTGTCCCGAAATATAATTTTCGATGGTGTGAATTGCCTAAAATACCCCTAGACGTTTGTGGTGTTATGTGGCTTAAGTTGTGCTGTGGACCAAATTATTTTCTTCCTAACCTTTTGGACCAAATTAGGACTAAAGGTTCTAATTGTTTTGGTTGGTTGTAAGGGGATCAGGACCACACACACTCACACTCTCTCTCTCTCGTTAACCCTCTCTTTCTCTCTCTTCCCTCTTGGTTTTTCTCCATTTTCGTACCATACGTACGGACGAACCTTAACCAAACCATTTCTTCACGGATCAAGGTTATGGAGACCATTTTCAAGTTCCTTCCGAGCCTAGGAACCCATTGATACTATTATTTGGACGTGAAACCTCAAAAAACCCGAGAAACCATAATCTCCGATTTGAGCACTGTTCATGCACACGTAAATGTGTAGTTTTCTGAGAGTTTTGAGGTTATAGAAAGCTTTAGATCGTCTTCACGAAGCTCGGAGAAGAAAAATGAAATGATTTGGACGTTAGGAAGTTGAATTTCGACGAGTTGCAGGTTTAGCCGGATTATCGAGGGATTTTCCGACGAGTTCCGTTGGTTTTAGGACTTTTGAAAGGTAAGGTTTTGTTTTACTTGTCTTAAGCTTCATTTTGGTATAAAATTTGTGAAATTTGGTTGAAAAATGAAGAAGATATTAACGTTTTTCGAATTTCCAGTTTCTGGCGATGGCGACCGGCGATTCGTCGGAGAAAAAAAGAGAATATTTCATTAATACTAACGAAATATTCCTAACGGCAACTAATGGTCAGGTTAGTTTTAACGGAATATTCTAATTTTTTGCGGAATATTCCCTAACGACGATTAAGGATTCCATTAGGGTTGGCCATGCGTGGGATGTCGGAAAATTTTTCTAAAAATATGAGGATGTTCCTGAGGTTGAGTAGATCATGGTGGTATATTCAAATACCCCATTTGAGCATTGTATGAGAACTTATTCAGTTATTTCACATATAGGTTATGTGCTTTAAATAACGTTTATTCAGTTATTTCACATATAGGTGAGACCTATCCTGAGGACGAGCGCTATCAATCGAGGCTCGAGGGCTACGACTCTTCGACATACCAGTGAGTGGGCTCTTGGTTTTCTGTATATACCTATATACTTGAGATTTTTCCCAGAAAATGAATTTAAATGAATATATGTTTTGGAAATGCCATGCAAGTATCTATCTATTTTAATTATGCATTAGTAGTTGCATACATTCATGATTGGTGTTGCGGATGCACAGGTAAGTGCCAGGTAAGTTCATAAATCAAAGGTATGGGATTGTTTCGGTTATGTGAGATATGTTGTAATGTATTGAGAGCTCATAAACCTGCACCTCGGTGTTAGTGCTCCTGCCTAGAATTAAGGCACAGTCCTTTATGTGATGTTCACCTCCCGCACCATATGCTCACCTTGGATCCAAGTTAGGTGCACAGGCTTGTCATACATACCACTTTAGGTGGTTTCGACTCGTAGGTGACCTGCAATCATTCGCACAGCCTTCACGTGATCGTACCACTAAAGCATATTTACTTTACACCTAGTCTTGTCATGCAGACCAGTGTAGGTGGTTCCGATTCATGTGCAGAATTTGATTTGATATGATTGAGATTGGTTATGAGCTATATACTCAGCAGTGCAGTTTGAGTTAGAGATTTGGCTAATGCGATATTTGATATTTTTATATTTTGCTGGTTTACCTATAGCATTGCATTGAGATACTTTGGCATAGCATACTTATGAATATCGTTTTCTGAGCATGGTTTTGAGATATGTATATATTCTATTTTTATGGGAAAATTATACAAGTTTTATGGTGAGGGGTTAGAACTTTTGAGAAATGAAATGATTTTGAACAACTTTGTTTTTGCCCACTCACACTTTCTGTTTTGCGCCCCTCCAGGTTTTAAGTAGAAGTGCTTGGTGGATCACGAGGATTCTGACTGGGGTTCTGACAGAACATCACCATGTAGGATCATCCTTAGGTGTTGTATAATTAGTACTTGTCATGCTTGACTGCATCTAGAATGTTATGATCTGGTTATGTATTTCACACTTAATCTCGCACTTGCACCTTATCTTAACTAGTACTATAGTTGATTTGGTTTTTGTTTATTCGTAATTCCTTATATCTCTATTGCTTCCGCACTGTGCACATGACTACGTCACCCTCACATGACGGCCAGCATGTCTCGATCTAGGTCGATGTGTGTCACTAAACCACTGGAATAGAGTTTTCATTTAGTGCATAAAATTTCCTTTCACTGTACTGTCGGCTTTTGCTGTCTCCCGTCCCATTATTTTTGTAATTCGTTAAGAGTTTTCAGTACATCTGTAGAAGCTTTTGAAGTGCTGAGTTTGGATTTTCAGATTGACTACGCACCCATTGTTGGAAGCTTGCGGGGCTTGATCCTGAAAGAATGGTCGGTTATTTATTTGTTTGTTTGTTTTTGTAGTCATTGCTAATGTTAATGGTTTCTCAGTTGCACTAAAATCTACTTGATTATCAATTTGTGAAGTGGTCCTATCATTGTGTGTGGAGGAAGCTACATAATTTGACACATTTATGGGGTAATTGCGGGCGACACTTGCGGATTCATTTCTTGCTGACCTTGATGAACTATCAGACAATGAAGCCGATATTATTGTGAGTAAATTCTGTCTTTCATATGAGAAAATAATGACCATAGAGGCTAGACAGTGAGATGTTCAAAATTCATATCTATCTCAACCTCTGCACTAGAAGTCATCACATAATTTTTTTTTTTTTTTTTTTTTTTCAGTTTGAAGATGATGTTGACGCTGGAATTATGGAAGAAGATGTTGATGGGGACTTGGCTGATTTAGAAACACTTAATTATGATGATCTGGACAGTGTTTCAAAATTGCAGAAATCACAAAGATATACAGATATAATACAGGTTTGTTATATATGAATGCGTTATTTTCTTCATGCGTTATTGGTATTGAAATCTTATGAGTTATTTGTGTACAAGCTTTATTGCTTAATTGTTTCACTTTATCCATAGCTTCTTGTTTCTTATCATTTTCTTTGATGCGTGGTGAGAGTAACTTAATGGGCTTAGTATTTTAAATTTTTCATCATGCTAATACATGTGTTTTGTATATCTCATGTACTTAAGTTTCAACATGGTTTTGTCCTTTCTAGTCTTTAGGTTGTCGTTCAGTTTCCCCACCCTTTTTTTCTATTTTTTATACTGGCATATTGGCATGTAATGGAAATACGGTGTTTAAATTGCAGAAAGTGGAAGGTGCACTGGAGAAGGGTTCTGATATGCAAATCATGGAATAGTTTTGGAAGATGATCCAGAAGACCAGCTGATTGTGGACTGTAATGCTTTGTCTGTTGACATTGAGAACGAAATTGTAATCATCCATAATTTTATTCGGGACAAGTATCGCCCAAAATTTCCAGAGCTGGAATCACTTGTGCATCATCCAATTGATTATGCTTGAGTTGTTAAGAAAATTGGAAATGAAATGGACGTAACCTTTGTTGATCTGGAGGGGCTTTTTACCTTCAGCAATTATTATGGTTGTGTCAGTCACAGCATCAACTACAAGTGGCAAGCCACTTCTAGAGGAAGTCCTTGAAAAAACAATTGAGGCATGCGATCGAGCCCTTGCTCTTGATTCAGCAAAGAAGATGGTGCTTGATTTCGTTGAAAGTAGAATGGGTTTTATTGCACCGAATCTTTCTGCTATCATTGGTAGTGCTGTTGCGGCAAAACTTATGGGGACAGCTGGGGGCCTCGCATCCTTAGCTAAGATGCCACCTTGTAATGTTCAGCTTCTTGGTGCTAAGAGAAACAACCTTGCCGGATTTTCCACTGCAACATCACACTCCCGTGTTGGTTATGTTGAGCAGACAGAAAATTTTTAATCCACACCCCCTTCGTTGAGGATGCGTGCTTGTCGGCTCTTGGGTGCAAAATCAACACTTGCAGCACGGGTGGATTCCACAAGAGGAGATCCATCTGGGAACACTGGAAGGGCATTTCAGGAGGAGATTCGTAAGAAAATTGAGAAATGGCAGGAGCCTCCTCCTGCGAAGCAACCTAAACCACTTCCGGTTCCTGATTAAAAAAGGTCGTACCCAGTGCACAAGGCTCCCCCTTTACGCAGGGTCTGGGAGAGGTGAATGTCGGCTAGCCTTACCCCTATTTATGGAGAGGCTGCTCCCAAGTCTCGAACCCGAGACCTACCGCTCATGGGCGAAGAAAAGGTAGTATATTGTTTCTGTTGTTTTATACTTTTTTTCAGTTATTCCTGATTCACAAACTGAAATTTACTTCTACAGGTATGCGATAACGGACATGAGGAAACTGGCAAATAGGATACAATTTGGTATACCAGAAGAGAGTTCCTTAGGTAATTTTCTCTTATGTTAGTAAATTTTGAATTTTAGATTGGTACATTCAAATCTAAATGGCCAAAAAAGGAGGGAAAGGAGATCACCTCACCTACAGTATCATTTACATTCTTACACATCTTACAGTATGAGGAGCACAATTGTTCATTAAGATGGTTCCGATGTGAGCCCCGTTTCCATTTACACGAAAGACTATATCTTAATTCTCATTTTATTGTCTTCCTTGATATTTAATAGGGGATGGACTGGGTGAAGGTCATGGAATGCTTGGTCAGGCTGGGAGCGGCAAGCTGCGTGTATCAATGGGTCAGAGCAAACTTGCCGCAAAAGTTGCTAAGAAGTAACCTTTTCCTTGTTTCCTGTAGTTATGGTTTTTCTTTTTGTGTCCAAGTGAACCATTGTCAATCTTAATGCGGGGTGTCATTTATGTGAAAATTCTACATTGCTCTTTTTTGGCCGTTATATCTCAATCGTTGGATCCTTGACTTGACCAAGGATATAACGGCCAAAAACCCTGGTGTATAGACTACTCCGGACCATACTAGGAAATCCTATCATTTATAATTGAGTTGTGCTGATTTATACCATTGATCGGTCAAAGTTGGGATAGACCTTCATTGATATCATGAGCTGCCTATTCTTGTCAGGTTCAAGGAAAAGCTTTACGGAAGCAGTGGTGCTACATCGGGACTAATTTCAAGTTTAGCGTGTACGCCTGTGCAGGTTGACGTCACTTCTTACCTTGCACTTGAGTTCTCTCTCTTATTTACAAATACATTGGTTTCCAAGCTTAAGTGCCATAGAAAGTTTTTCGGAAATTCATTCTCTTAACAATCATCATTTTTATGCAGGGGATTGAGCTCTCGAATCCACAGGCTCATGCACACCAGCTTGGCGGTGGAGCTCAAAGCGCCTACTTCTCTGAGACGGGAACATTTTCAAGAACTGGGAGGATCTGATCCAGATCCATACAAAGGAAGTTTTCATGTATCCGGGAGAATTCCCTGGTTGCCAATACCGTGAACGCTGTAGCCAAAATGTGTAAATGATTTTACTAGATGAAGTCGTGTTTGCTCGTTGTGATATAGTAGTTACTGACCTTCGGTGGATGGTAAAAGGTGGAGGATGTTACTTCAGAGATAAAAATATTTTGTTTTTCAGAAGACGTACTAATTCAAGCTGTGATACGTGCTTTCGGGAATAACTCATCTGTACTTTCTTCCCCTTGCCCCGCCTATTTTTTGTGCATTACAAAGTTCTTGGATTAATTGGTAACGTTTCTCTCAGAACTCAGAAAAATGTTTATTCAATTTCAGTCTGCAATAACCAATCAAAATTAAGTTTGTGGATTTTATAAATTTTTGTAGTAGTATTATTAGCTCATTAGGTAACTACATCGTGAAGGTCTAAATCCTTTAGCTATCGAGAATTTGTTAAGTTGGTAAGGATCGTTCACTTTCCTAAGAAAAACTTACATATGTCAATTCTAGGAAACAACTTACATAGCACCGTACACCATGTGCCAATGAAATAAAGACATATGGATAAAAACTTACAAGTTTTTATTTCATTAACACGAAATGTCACTGTAGCGGTGTACAAGTACCATATAAGTCTCCCAATTCCAAGCGCACCATACAATTTTCATATTGGGATCACAATGACATTCTAACCAATCATCCCGTAATACTGGAATGGAAAGCATTCAACTCATGAGCAGATTTGAATTTGAAGCTAATTTCAACTTCCGGGAAAACCTTGGCACAATACCAAAACTCAAGGTAATGCAATTTATGAAAAATAATTTTTTGTTTGTCAGTTTTCTTCTTCTACATAATCTTGACTTGTGGAAACATCGGTGTGTTTGGAGAGAAAAGGATTGTAAATCACTTCCCTCGTATATGGGCGACACGCGCTATTCTTAGGACCTATAGTATGTTGTATCAAAAGTTGGCATTCTTTTCTTCGAAGCTCAAATCCTAGTATTCTTGAATTTTAGAGGACTACACCAACCTTATTACGATTGCCAGTTAATCGTGTTCTGGGACATGTTACATTTTCAAAGAACCTGGAAAAAAAGGGATCAAAGCAAAATCTTCAGTCACACTTGCATAAGAACTTGAAATAACGCTGAAATTAAGTGATACAACAACAACAGCAATAAAGCCTTATCACACTAAGTGTGGTTGGTTGTATGAATTCCAGAATGTTATTGCGCTTGGTTTTGTGTCAAGTCTTCCGTTATCTCCAAATGCTCCGTGTCTTTTCTTAAAATCTCAAGTCTTCCTAGGTCTTCCTCTACCCCTTTTACCCTGAATCTTTGCCTCATAATCATATTTTCTAACCGAAACATCCGTAGGTCTTAGGTTTACATGCCCAAATCACCTTAATCAATTTGCTGTCATCTTATCTTCAATTGCGGCAACTCCTAGTTTACCCCGAATATCTTCATTCTTAATCTTATCCTTTGTTATGTGCCCACACATCCAACAAAACAATCTCTACTCGGTTACACTCATCTTCATGCTATAAAGCATTCTTATCTCCACATACCTCACATTCCATGCCATAAAGCATTGATGACCTTGTTGTCGTCCTATAAATTTTTCTCTTGAGCTTTAGTGGCATGCGACGGTCGCACAAAACACCTGATGCACTATTCCACTTCTTCCTTCCAGCTTATATTCTATGGTTTATTAACAGTAAGGTGTGAAATGCAGAAAAGCATAAAGGGAAAAGGAAGAATAATTGCAGAGGAATTAGAGAGAAAGTGACTAACTGAGAATTGTATTACTTGAATTGATTGTTATACAGAGAGAGAAGTTGCCTATTTATACAACTATATTTGCTTCTTTGATACGCTACTAACTAACTAACTTCTTTATATTTCTGCAATCTCTAGATACTAACTACCTTTCTGATGTGGCACCTAACTGCCTTGCTGATATGTAAGCTAACATGTATATATCAGTCAACATGGTCGAGGTCTTCATCCAATTCTCCAATCTTTTGCAAGATAGATTCCAAATAACGAAAGCGTTCACTTTTTGGTATCTCCTGATCTCAAACCATCACCTTTATCTCTCCCAACTTGCACTCCATACACTCTATCTTTGACCTACTTAGGTAAAGAAGTTTAGATTCCAACACTTCTAGCCAAAGGTTAAGCTTCGCATTTATTCCCTTATGTGCTTCATTTATATCAGCACTACATTATCTACGAAAAACATTCACTAGGAGATATCATCTTGAATATGTCTTATTAACTCATTCATTACCAATGCAAAAATGTAAGACTTAAAGCCTAGCCTTGGTATAAACCTATGATTCTGGGAAAGCTTTTGATTTATCCTTCATGACTTCTTACTGTAGTTTTTGCTCCATCATACATAACTTCATTGCTTGAACATATGATACCCGTACTCATTTCTTCTCTAGAATCCTCTAATGAATTTCTGGAGACCCTATCATATGCTTTTTCCGAATCTATAAAGACCATTCATAAATCCATTTGCATATCTCTTGAGACCCTATTCATGCAATTTCCTATTTCACTCTTATTCTTGTAGGTAGGCACCAAAATGCTTTTTTGCCGCTCATTTAACATCTTCTTCGTTTTCAAAATCTTATTGAAAAGGTTTGCGAGCCATGTTAATATCAACATATTTGAAATAGTGTGATAATAACAAAAACTTATGTGATTAGCAATCTGTTTAAGAGGGGTTTACCGGCGGTGCTTGAGACTGAAACATTCTACAAACCCGTCTCCGTTTCTTCTGCGTGCAAGTGGACCATATGCTTTCCATTTACAGTACTACAATCACCAGGGCAAGCCAGTGAAAGAATATTAATACATCAGATACACAGATGATATAAGAGAGAGCCTATATTCGTTTCCACCCGCTCCACCCCTGAGGAAGTTTCCACTTTCTATGCCAATATATCGACACTCTTGACCATAATGGGAACCCAAAATTGTAATCGAGCGGCCGATCAGCTGGCCCTCCTACTATCAACGGCAACCATACATATCTTGAGTCTCTCAAGTCCGCTGGGTTCCATCTATCTGCCATGAAGATAAATGAACCTGTAAATCCCGGTACAGGAAGCACAGATGTGCTCTGTGCAAAAAATGTAGTAAGTTGAGACACTTTGTTCCCTCCAGCACAGGGGTTTCCCATGAACTCCCATGGCCCCATGACCGACTCTGCTGCATGCCCCAGTGCCTCATTAGGAGCCCATCCAGTGCAGCCTGAAGTGATCATGTAATAAGTTCCTTCATGCTTGAACAGAGCGGGGGCTTCCCGATGTTGTCCCACAAGAATTCTTCTCACGGTGTTGGTCACGTCAAGGTAATCTTCAGTCAGTGGTCCAATATGAAGTTCACTATTGTCATCAGAGGAGTATATTAGATAAGCAACACCATCATCATCTTTGAAGATTGTCATGTCCCTACTATCAAATTCATGGGGTCGTTTGCTGTAGAGATAATCAAAAGGACCAGTTGGGTAATCACTAATGGCAATGCCAACGGAAGCTTTAGTATAGTTAACATCATCGATGTGCATCCACATAACGTACTTCCCTGTATGGTCATTGTAAATCACCTTTGGCCTCTCAAGAACATTGGATTTGTGGAGATCATGTGTTCATTTGCTTTTTCTGCTGCCAATACAAGACCTTCATTTTTCCATTTCCATAAGTCGTTGGAAGAATAGCAACCCACTCCTATGATGTCAACCTAAATGAAGGACAAGATATAACTTCAATGCTTGAATGAGAAAATATTCCGTCCGAAAAGAAGAACAGATGAATCAAAAAGGACTCTTAAGTGCAGCAATGGTGAAAAAGTATGCATCTAATTACGATGCTACATAACTAAGTCTAGAATAGCAACACATGGCTTAAGGGAAACCTAACAATACTTACCAAAAAAAAGCTCCATACCCCTCACTAAAATAAGTGAACGGTCTATTTCATAAACAAATTTTCAACACAACTATTTTCAGCCCCAAAATCCAAATTGAACAACTAAAACCCTTCTAGTTTTAAACAAATACCAGATGTCATTTTTAGTGGACGCAAAGTTAACTAATACCAAAAAGTTCCATGCTTTCTAACTTGACACTGATGGAGTTTTCATATCCCACTTCTGGTAAGATAGTTGTCATTGCTCTTTAACCTGAATAGCAGCTATAATTCCATAATCTAGAGTTGATATTAACTAATATGGAGGCAACACTCTAAATTGGATTCATTTCAGTTAGCAGCGTAGAAATAAGCTTGGTTTTCAAGGGTAAGTAATTCACGGATAAATCACGTATGCAAAATGATATATACTCAGCATCATCTACATAATCCGAATGCTTCTAAACAGAACTGAACAGAAAGCAAACAGTTAATGTGTGGAAAATAGCAATTTCATCCCTAACAGAAACAAGGACTGACATTTTAAAGCAAAACCATAGTGGGAGCTTAGGAGTATTCAGAGGAAGGTGAATCACTTACCCGAGCTACTCCTCTTTTGTGAGCATGGTATGTGGGCCCATCTTTATACTCCCCATACCAATAGTATGTCCTTGATTTTTCATCGAATAGAATACCACCTCCATGGGCTTGAATAGGATTTCCATCAGTATCCAACCAAATCCTCCCAGGGTAAAAGTAATAGCTATCATTTCCCGTGTCCTTCATTGGATCAATAGCAAGCTTCCGGGGAAAGAATACGTGTCTAATTTGAGAATTCTCATCAAGAAATTCATCAATCAGAGTAGTTGGTCGCCTTGGTTTTCTTTTTGCAGCACGTGGGGATCGCTTTCTCGGTGGAGGAATTTGAATATTTTCCTCTTCCACCTGTTCAAGTTCATGGAACTGTGGATGATTACTCACTCGAAATTGAATTTCTCCTCCCAACCTATCCTTTTGCCGAACAAGAGTGTACAGTTGAAACATAAAAAAACATCCCACCAAGCTCCACACCACAGCAGACGTTGAACATCTACTCCCTGCATTGCAACGGAAAGTGGTTGGTTTCCTGTATTTGTTCCTCATCCTCATTTTCTCTTCCTTTTTATTCTCTCCAACACAATGCTGCAATTAACAAAATGAAACCTATGGATATCCGGCCAAATACAAGTCACAGGCTCACAACCACGCTAGCCTATAATGCACAGAAGTGGTCAATCCGCTTGAAAATTTACGAAAGAAAAAAATTCAGCACAATTAGGAC